CTGTCCTGTCCTCTCCTCCTCCTCCTCCTCCTCTCTCTTCTCACTTCACTCCACTGTTCCTCTTCTCAGTTTTCCTTCCCTGCTGTCTGCCTTAGCACCGCCTCCCACTCCTCCTCCTTATCCCTCCCTCCTCTCTCCCAATTTTTTTTTTTTTTGCCAGCCAGCCCCTCTGCCTCGAGTTTCCTTCTTTTAGCAGCCACACTACTCTCCTCTGCCTGTCTCTCTCTCTCTCTCTCCTCCCCCCTTCTCTTTTTAGATTCATCCACTCCTTCTCTTTCACACACATCCTCTGCATCAACACAACCCTGCGTTGGCTTTAACATTTATGGAAATTTTCGTTACTATTTCTGTTTGGCGGACGGGTGTGCAGGCAGAATGTGCCCACGGGGCGTCAGGGGAACACCTCCTTCCCCAGCAGTTCTCAGCATCTACCCTTTGGCGAAACAACAATGCAGTTACACCCAATTGTGTAATTATTAAACAACATTGAATACATCAAGAGCTGCGGCTGCAACAAACGCAGGAAGGGGGCGTGTCGATTAATTCAAAAGGGGTAAATTACATAACGTGCTTCTCCACATCTTTGTGTAGTTTGTGTACACTCCTCTTGTGCGCATGAAGGTGAGCGCCATTCAGCAGGCGGTGGAAAGAAAGAATCAGTGGAAAGTCAAATCACACAGACTCGGAGTTTCTGTGTGTCGAGTGGTGTGTTGGAGGTGAAACGAGAAAGGACGTGCATATTGCAGCTAGATCAAATAAAGATTGTTTTTGTTGTCGGTGATTCTGTTGGTTACTACAGTTGATTATATGTTTAATATGTTGAAGTGGAACTTTTAGGCCTGTGACCCCTTCAGATGAAGCCACATCTAGTCGTGACCTCTCATGACTGGACACAGCCTCAGTGTGGACATGAGTGTTGGACTTTGACTAAAAACTGCAGCCTGAAATATCTAAACAACTAGATTTTCATTACATTTTGAACCTAATATGCACAGAGAATAATCCTTAATATCTTCCGCGGTACCCTAATTTCACCTTTCTGACACCATTTGTCCTTTTATGTAAAAATCTATCTAAGTGTTTAGTGTAAATAGGTAAATGACCCCGTTAAACCAAGACGGTAAACATATCCTCTATACATTTCCACTTTACCACCAAACCACTACCGTCCAGCCTCACAGAGCCACCAGCAAGCAGCTAAACTGTTCACTTATTTTTCCATCAGTTCATCATTTAATCAATAATTAATCCACTAACTGTTGCAGCGCTAATTAATTTACAGATCACACACTGCTCTGTTGTGTGGTACACAACACTTACCGCTCTTGGTTTATTGTTGTGTGCTGCCATGGAAAACTGGTAGGAGGACTGAGTAATGCTGCATGAGAGTGTGTGTGTGTGTGTGTGTGTGTGTTCTCTCTCTCTCTTTACTGGAACTTCCCTGTACCTCCCTCCCACGGTCCCACGGTGCTACAACAACAGAGAAGTGAGTTCACTTGTGCTCTCTGACTTGGCACTTTACTGCCATTAACACAGCCCACCTCCTCCAGGCTGAAAATACAACACCAGAAAGCTTTTGAGTTTTTTTATACGCGTGTGTGAGACACTGAGTCGGTGTGCGTGTGTGTGTGTGTATGTGTGTGTGTGTGTGTGAGTCAGCAAGAGTTTCTATTTCAGCCTCCAAACAGGTAATGATAACCCACAAATTGAGTGCATCAGCTCAGTGTAACATGTTAAATTGATACGGTTTCTTTGAAGTGGGGTCGTGCGAGGTACTGATCCAGAGTCGACTGCAGTCCGCATTTGGAGGAGCAGGCTGGAGGACCGGCACAGGAGGCAAGCAGTGTGCTGCTGCGGACGAGGTCAGCAGCAGCAAGCACCAAACTCACACCATGACACAAACCAACTGATCGATCAAGGCAGCGGTAGATCAGCAAGTCTGATTTTCTGCGAGTCTGGTATCTTTGAAGAGAGCATAGAGCGAAAGAAAAGCTTCACTTCTCTGTTGCTAAATCAGTGAAAATATTGTAAATGTAATGTATGCTGACTCTAATGATTTTTTTTTCTCAGCATGGCCTTTTCTCATATGGCTAAAATACATTTTGCAGTCTGGTCCTAGTGTCTGTTTCTACTACTAGAGGTGCACTGTAGGTCAGACACTACCCATGACCTTACACAAAGCCACCTGAAAAAAAGCAAACTATCCCTTTAAGCTCAAGCTGAACGACATTGTATAAAAATTGACATTAGTGTGAGTTTTTTTTTTACCAAATGGTTTGAAAACCCTATTTTAAAAGAATTTGTTATTCTAGCATAATTGGGGTGATTTTATAGGGAAGTTCATCCGCATCAAAAGCAAAAATGTATTTAGAAAAAAAAAGCTAAACAAAGGTTTCTTGTATGATATAAAACTGACAAAGGTTTTGCTCTGGATGGCATTCAGATCTGAACTTGTCATACAGAGCTTCGTGGTGACTTAATAACTGATCAAACAAACTACTCTTGATGCCTCATGCAAGACACTGCTGACAGAGTACCTGTTCATGGTCAACATCATCCCCTCTGTATCCAAAATGTGCTTTTCTTTTTGCAACCAAATCTTTGTTTCCATGGATTTTCACCTGCTCCTCACCGCACACTAGACGTCAACAAACTTAGCTTCTTGTAAATAAAGTTTTATAAAAACTCTTTACATCCAAGAACTTTGATTGAACAATTATTCATCAGATTCTTGTGTCTTTTTGTATCGAGCAGCAAAAACAGCAGTAGCATGATGTGTTTGCAGTAATTTGCCTCATCCTGTCACTGTGCGACTATTACACATGTGCACGCTGTAATGTCAGTTCTGAAACGATGGACTGTGCAGCCCAACTTTAAGCTGTCATGAGTCATTACAGAGTGGGAGCCATGAAAGAAAAGTAAAGAGGCTGTATCTGTGAATAACTTGAGTTATTTAAAACATGCTTACTAACTAGTTCAACTTTGGTGCTCATGTTTTACCACTGAAAGCTCAAGCCCATGCACCGCTGAGACACACACACTGAGCTCAGCTAATTACAGTAATTAAAAGTTCACACTGACAGTAACTTTGCGCAAAAGACTGTGTTTTTTTTAAGTTGATATCTGCAGTGGATGTTGTCTTGTCGGGCCATATGACCTCCTCATAAATGTGTTTTTTTTTTTTTTTCAAAAATATATTGTGGGTTGAACTGGATTGAGACTTTTAGTTTAACTTTAACACAGCCAGCAACAGTGATTAGAAGTCACGCGTCCGGGGGTTAGAACGGCATGATATTGTTTCAAAAACTCACCATAATTAAGTCATTTATCAGAGACAGAAACTTTGATTTTCACCTTTCAACCCTGAACTACTGATGATGGTGATGTTCTGTCAAAACATGTAACCAAATCAGAAAAAAATGTGATATTTCATCAAAATCACTTTATTCTACATGTCTCAACAGTTTGCACAAACAGTATTGTGAACTGCTGGCTGAGTTTACACAAGCTGATAGGAGACAAGTATTGAAACAAATTAAATATCAAAGTGGTAAAATGTCTAGTCAACATTTTTTCCAGTATTTGTAACACCAGTGGACACTTGGAAAAATGTTGAACATGCTGATTTCAGGTTTTTCCATTTTTTGTAAAATAAATAGTTGTAGAAATTCAATTTTCAAATATCCCTTTTTTATGATTTATGGTGCCATAACAGTGTAGTATACCGCCCAGAAGACATTTTTGAGTTCTCTCTGCTTCTAGCCATGGTTGTGCTGTTTCCAAAGTGATGTTGGACGATATATTGCAGTGAAAAATAAGCCAATAGTGAGTGAAAATGTGACAGGAGCATAAAACACAAGGGTTAAACAGAAGAATAGGCAGCAAAAGGTGTTGACCATGTGACCTTAAACCAAAATAATTACCTAAATGATGCTAAAATCTGCTGCAGAGTTTGGTGATGTTTCTTTGTGGGATCTTGATAGCAAGTGATCACTTTTGCATTCCATATTATCATTTTATCCATTGTTACACAGACTACTGCAGCTTTAAATTGTGAGAAACATGCATCAACCAAAAGTACTGAGTAGGACTTCAACTGAATCCTTTGTATTTTGAAAGTGACCTTCCGACGCAGGTGGTGAGCAGTGTGGTGGGACAGATAATGAAGGAAGGGGACAGCTGGGCTGGGACGGGCTGAGCTGGACTAGAGGAAAACGAAGTGCAGAGGAGACAGCAGATCTGTAATGGATATGGAGGAAAGAAGAGAGGAAGACAGCTGCTGCTGTGTTGACCACACATTATTATCACGCCACACATCTTACAAACTCTGCCCTTTTACTGCGAGGCCTTGAGCTGATGGAAATGATAAGGAGTTAATGTCAGGATGCAGCGTCGTGTGACTGCTGTTGGCCGAAAAACAACACAAACAAACAACGTTGCGGGCTGACATAACTGATATTTTTTTATATTAAGCTTGCAGAAAAAAAAGGTGCAGCGCAGAGAAAATTGTGTTTGCTGGGCAGGACAATTTGATTTGCGGCAGAAGTAAACAGATGCACCTTCCTTGCCTTATGTCACCCGGCTGCCGTATGGAACAACATGGCCTAAGCCACAAATGTATGACCTCTTGACCCCTTGTGCCCTCCCTCCTCCCTCTGTGTCACACACTCCCACTGCTATCCATCTCCAAACCTAATCCCTAACCAGACACTTGAAAGAGGCCAAGACCTCTATCTCCATAAAAGTGTGTGCTTGACAAAGTGACCGCAGCAAGTCACTCTAAACTGAGATTGGACCAATTCGGGCCATTGATCAGCATCCAGCTGCCTACAAGACAGGAGGGAAAATGAACGCAATTGCAACGGAGAGCGAGAAAGAGAGAAGGAACGAGAGCGGTAGGAGGAGTGGGGGATGCCTGAGTCAGCAAATATTGAAGGTCAACGTCATCAGAGAAGGTTTTGTCTGCAGAGGGGGTTTTGTTTTTTGGTGTGGTTCTTTACCTCAGTGTGTCGCCCAGTTTACTCCTCCTGGAGGTCTGAGGAAGACAGGGGAGCAGCAGAGAGCTCTCATCCCAGGACCTCGCTTCTCTCCGGGCCACTTCTCCTGCACTCCGTCCTGAGGGAAAACACAAAGTGTTAATGTTACCCCACATCATCAAACTCACACAGATGTTCGCAGCATTTAAAATGCATTAAACCTACATTAAATGGCTGCGAGTGCTCTGCAATGTCTACCAACTGCTCACTAGCTGTCTGTCTGCCATTTGATGCTGGGATGTTGGTGTTCAATTAATGAGATTGAACCAGAGTAGAATAAGTTAACTCTGAATCCCAAACACTTTATGGGTGTTTTCTTTTTTTGCTCCTGTCACACATTTACTCAGTGTGAGCTCACTGTGGGCTGTAAAAAAGCAAATAATAAAGCTTTACTACTTCCCCCTCCCCCCAAAAGAAATTATTCTGTGTGCAGAAAAACCGTAAGATGACATCCTAGTTTATACTGTAGTGCCATGTGTTACAATATATTAGTACTACCACTCTCTGAGGTTGTATCATGAGGTGAGTTAAAGATATGCAGGACATCGTTTTGTCATCTGGCTCCACTAAACCCAACAACCACAGTGATGCTAAACGATCACCTAGTCAACCCTGGTTTTATGAATCTGGCCGTGAGCATGTTTCCGGAAAACAGAGAGTGTTTGCATCAGATGACCAAACATGGACAAGTCCAGAACCACAGCTTTGTCACAAGAACAACAAACTGTAATCTTAAACCAAGTATGAAGAATTTAAAGATGTAATTCAGGCTAAAAGCAACAGACAAACCAAGGAAGGAAAAGTAATAGGTTACTCAGTATCATTGCCCATATAAAGAACAAGTTTATCTGACTATAATTACAGTTATGTGTTCAATGAAGTTAAAGTGTCTCTTAAATGTTATCTTACGAGACAATTTTAGCCTTTTTCTTTTTAATCTGCGACCCTGGAGGTGTTAAACGGTCTTGGGAGCAAGTAAAGAACAAATATTAAAACATCATTCAAACTGGTAAGAAGGCTTACTTCCAAACCTTATAAGGTCAACAAGTACAAGGCTTTGGTGCTTTAATCATTCTCTGTTTTAGGATTATATCGCTGTACAAAGGCCTGCAGAACAATGAAATGGCTTTGAAATTGCTTGCGGCTCTAAAAACTCCTGCCCTCTGAAGAGACCTTCTAAATATCCATACACCAAGCTCCACGGGACCTTCTAGGAATGGTGACGCCATTTTCCAAGAAAACTGTTGGGTTATTAAGCAGCGCCGCTATAAACTCAGGGTTAAACCTGCAGCAACCTCACTAACCCCAAATCCTGCATCTCAGCACAACCTGGTGTCCAACAACTGAAAACATCAGCTCTTTTCTCAACTTTGTACACTTTTATCTGCTTTTCTTAACAACGCGAATCCATCCTACCTTTCCTCATTTTTTAATTTACACTTTTTAATCTTCTGATCTCATCCCTTCTCTCTCTTCGCCTCCTCCACACCAGTCTCTAGCCGATGAGGTAATCAGTCAGCTTGTTACTGTCTGATAAGTGATACGACTATTGATTTTGGCGCTGGTGTCCCGGCGCAGGGGTCAGTCCGGCCACATCGGCCAGCTCCCTGGCTGAGCTTCAGAGCTGCTTTCAGGAACCACGAACAGATGCTGACTGGGCTCTTTCTCAGCTATTGTCACAAACAGACAGACTGTAAGAAAAGAGATCTGACAGATCGTAAAGACGAACCGTGACATTTTGGCTGCAAAGAAAATGAATTATCCGGGTCAAACTTTGATCAGAAATGGATGAAAGCACCACATGGCTCGCACATGAATGTGAGGTATATGTGTCTAAATCCTAATAACATTACCCCCAGATTATCAAGTTAAAGAAACATCTCCTGTCCAACACAGCACAACGCATAACCTTTAATCTAAATCAATAAAATCTGTGTAGTTCTACAAATGACAACATAACACACAGTTACTGATTAACACCCAGATTTCCTCAGGATTTTGATGTCGCTGAAGCTCAAGCAGAACCAATATGGAGCAAACGTGAAGTGAAATCATTTGTTGCTTTGCGTCTGCGTAAATCTGGAAAATTTATGAATGGATTTCTATGGAGGTCAAATAGGCTTTAGGCCAAGGTACGACTGATTAAAGTGGCAATCAGGCTCTGGGTATTCTGCCATTAGATGATTATGTATTTCAGCCATTTGAGGCCTGATTTGATGGCCACGTGCCTTGTAGTTGTTACTGTGAACACCAGGAAGCCTAAAAGCGGTAGTGAGGCAGCTAAAACAGGGGAGTGGGGGGAGTGGAGGTATCAGTCTGTACGAATAGGGAAAGAGCACAGGGGGGTCAAGGCTTTCCTGGAGAGACGCAGGGGGTCGGGTTGGAGGTGAAATTTGTGAGATAACAGGGCAGGGGCTGGGTTTAAGCAGTTGTTCCACCCAATTTAACCTGATGCCATTCCTACAGAAACGCTGCTGCCAGCAATGCATGACTAAAAATAAGATTATTAGAAACAGCAATTTGCAAATACAGGCACGTGAACTGTTACTGTATGCGCATAAATGCACGTAGCTACATAGAGGCCTGCCTGGGTTTTAATTTTCATAAAATCCCCTGCAAGGCCATAAGACATGACCTGTGATGCTTTAATGATCTCTGCTGCACCTGGAGCTCACAGACACACACACACAGAAGCATCAAACCTCCCCTCTATGCACCATAATCAGGAGATGAGATCTCACTCTGTATGATGGGCTGATGTAAACCAATGGGTGCAGATTAGACGCAGATTATGAAGCCTTTAGATCAGAGGTAGATAGATTACATCGCAACAGCAGCATATGCCCTCACTGCAGGGACGACACTTTCTGTCAGGACAATGACACTGTGATTCAGGGTTGCTCTCCCGCGGGGTGCTGCAGTATTAACTTCGGCAGAGGGTGTTATTAAGGTTATGCGCGAACCGTCGCCTTTGGCTCACTTTGTTAATCACGACGCTTCCGGCGTTACAGTTATTGGGTTACTCCGGGTCTCTGCTGTGCCTCCTCATTTCGGAGAGCTACAGTACGCCGTGTTGATGATGATGATGAGGAGTAGAGGAGGGTGAAGGGGAAAGTAGCTGCCGTCACGAAGGAGGCGTGGCTAAATCTGTGCCAAGGTGACTCTTGCAGAATGAAACGAAGGAGAGAGAAGTGTTCAGTCCAAAAACACACATAATAGACAGATGTAAGGGTGGCAACATTTCAGAAAGGTATATGCCATTTCATATGTCAATATCCACATTATTATCATGTTATTGTCATTTCTTCTGATCTTCCACTTATTTTCTAGATGAATCAAAAGCCAAAAAAAGAAGAAAACTACACATCTTCACTTTTCTGAGTCATAGGTGGTGTTTTTAACAGTCTGATCAACAGGACAAAACCCACTGATAAAAAAATTACAGTGAACAGCAAGGAGACGACAATTTTTTTTCCTCGAAACACATGAATTAAATCAACTTAATGTATTAAAACGGTTGCAATTGTATTTTATGTTGACTCACTAATTGCACCTTGGATGAGAATATAGAAAACATACATACATAATATAATGTTATATAATATTTCTATAGATAGACATAATTTTGGCTAAAAAAAAAAAAGAATTACATTTCACATCAATCATGATACATGATGCAAAATCTAAATTTAAATTGTAAATGTGATACTTCCCTAAAGCTAATCTTCTCCATGATTTGCATCATTGCTCATAAAAGTCAAAAAATATATAAAAGTGAAAAAAATATTTAGAAATGGATCACCAGAAAATGTAATCTGAATTCATCTTCTCAGTAAAATTCTAAAATGAATATTAAGAGGATTTTGGATGACAAGTGTGAAATTTTTTGGATCAATTCATTACATTTTTTTTTTTTTTTTAAAGCAGATGAATTGATAATAAAAAACAGCAACAGTTGCAGAAATATTTACTTCTAAATAATCTAAAAAAATCTGCATAATTATCCATCATGTCACATATTTATTTAATAAAGGAGCTGACAAGTCAACAGCAAAGTTTGTACGCCAGAATAGAATCAATGGGAATAGTAAAACACTTCCCACGAACAGAGCAGCCAGTTAATGCAATTTCTATGTATCTCTCTTTCCATTTTCGCTGTCATTAACCCAACACTCATATCGTAGTCGGTGCCCGGCACTTTGCCGGCTGTCGCTGTCGTTTTTTTTCCAAGAAAGTGGAAAGCTGCTTTGTTGCCATAATATGCCCTGTGTGATGCTTGGCCCACTTTCCAGCCTGCTTTCATTGTGTAAGCACACATACATAAAACATGATTTGCTGCCTCAATTTCTGACTTTTATTCAGCTGGGATTTGGTGGCAGACAACATCAGAGCCATGAAAAGCAGAGCAGAGCAGCGACGAAATGCAACTCTCTCTCTGATCCTTTGAGCGAGGGAGTAGGAGGGAGAGAGAGAGAGAGAGGGAGAGAAAGAGTTGGCTACGTTACAGAGAGCAAGGTTTAATCACTGACCTCCAGACTTACAACTGAAGACAAATGGGCATGATTAATGAGGGCCATTCATCTTATAGGTTAAGAAAAAACCAGTGGGAACTGTGTTTGCCCGTGCTGCTCTGATAGGTATATCTGCTGTATATATTAAACTCCACTCTTGTTAGTTTGCGCTTCAACTTTCTGATCAAGTAGCTCAGGTCAGGCTCAGCGTAGATCCACCACTGTTCACTAGAGGGCAGCCTGTCTGAGTGTTGCAGCTGGAACAGTGACTGCTGACCAGAAAACTGACTCTCAGACCTCACGGAAACACTGTTGTTGCAGCAAATAACAGGAGAAGTAGCCAGTGCTGCATAAAGTTATTTTTATACCTCTAGATCCTCCTGCGTTGGTTTAATTATTTAATTAAATCATCTGTTTCCCCTTCATGCAGCCTTTTACCTTGAAGAAAAGCAGGAACTCAGAGGAGAAGACGGCAGTGGAAGAAGTATTGAGATCTTTCATTTAACCTTTTGAACTCCAAGCAGTTTCTGGCTGTTTATTTTACTCACTGTGGGCTCATTTTTCATTG